AACAATAACCAGAAAACAGCAGCAGATAAGACCACACATACAGAGACACATAGGTGAACACGCACGCTCATACATATTTATATCCCCCTCCGTCTCATTGCCATGCGCATACAAAGGCGCTTTGCTGTAGCGATGGAACTTGCCCGTCTGTGTGAAGGCACACTTACACGCGTCTCAATGTATGTGTGTATGGTAAAGGCATGAACGGAGGAGATCGCGTAAACGCTTTGTCTTCACCTTCTCATTACTCAATTCCTCTGATATGTTTATAATGAAAGTTTTTTCATTCTTTCTTCTGCGCTGCTTCTTACACACACCACATGCCGCTGTTGCAGCATGTCTAAAGGCCTTTTTTTGTTAAAATGCGAATAAAACAATGAACAACACCGAGACCAACTGAAGAATAGCCCCGAGAAACGTCCACGTGCACAGATAATCAAATAAAAAGAAGGACACACACGCATATATATATATATATATATATATATATATGCTGATATCGTATTGCTTGCATACATGTCTATTATCACCAGCTGCCATACGTATCGAGTCGCTGTCGCCGTATATATGCGGTGAACCATGCCACAGCTCCACCTCCTCTGCTTTAGGCTTCCAAGAGAGACAATGTAGTGTCGCTGGACCCGCTCGCCTCCAGGTCCGCCACCTCCCACGCATCGTCACCATCCTGCCCTTCGCACGCACATACGCCGCTGTGGAACGGGACGAGCGGGGTGAACAGCTCCTTCTCATCACTGCAGCACGGCCTCAACATAGCGCCGAAGCCCCTCGATTGGAGTAGCGGCACGGCACGATCCGCCCCGGAAGTTGGCAAGGCGCAGAATTGCCAATCCCACACGGCCGCTCCCGCCAAAGACCCCTCGCTCACATCCCTGACGTCACCGGGAAGCGCACTCGACGCGATGGAGTGGAACGCGGCGGCGTCGCACCGCCTCATGCTCAGGTGTGCCACAGGGGCGGGTGCTTCGGATGCCTTCAACCGCAGTGGTTTCTGCTGCTGCTGCTGCTTCTCAGGCAATGAGGGGTAGCGCCCCGAACGCGAGGACGGCAGCGCACGGACGGGTGGCGCCACCTCACCGCCCCTGCTGCCGCTCTGCCGCCCCAGCTCGCAGTCGTGCGGGTGGGAGGCGACCTTGTGCAATGGACTCCCTGAACGTCCCGAGAACCGCCGCAGGGGGCACCCCTCCTCGGGGGCCGCCTCCGGCTCCGCGCGGCTGCTCCATAACATCATCGACAGTGGTGCGGAGCGGGAGCTCCGCATGAAGGATCCGTACGACACTCGCCGCGATGACGCAATGAGGGTCGTCGAAGGCAATACCCCTGGTGCCGTCTCAGGAGATGCCTTTGTGTCGCCACCCAACGCCTTGGTGCCGTCCTTTCTATGGCCCCTAGGGGGCGGAAATGGTCGGGCCAACGCTGACGAGAACGGCAACGAGGATGACGACGTGGGGCTGGGCTCGTTCAGGATTCCGCAATTACCTTCCTCCGCGTGGAGCTGGTGGGGGGGTGGTTTCGGCTTTCGGCCACCGCCGCTGTGGTGCGGGGCACTCTCCGGCTGCATCCGTGGTGAAGACTTGCTGTGCAGCATCCACGAGGAATCGCCGCCCAGTTCCGACATCGGTTTCACTGGAGTAAATACACATACACTATCCCCACTAAACCCAACGAAGCGCTCGCTGTCCACGGAGTTCAGTTTGACGTTTCCCGTGTGTAAACTACTCCGTGCCACAATGCTACTCCTTACTGAAAGAGGAATGTGCGACACCACAAGTTCTCCAGGAAAGAAGACGTCCGTGCTCCCGGAGACGGAGTTTTCGAAAGGAGAATTCTCCTCACCGTGACTAAAATCCACCGTTGTGGAGAGTAGCTGCGAATTAGCTGTCCGCTGCGTGTCTTCATCCTTTGGATCGGATGTACACGTCACCTTATCCACTTCTCCAAAATCAGGACCCGCTAATTCACCTTTGCTGCCGCCTTGGGTATGGATTTTCCGCTGCCGGTTTCCCTGCTTTACCCCACCCTTCCTCTGGAACATCGGCGTGGAATGTGGAGAGCGAGTCCTGTCCTTTGGCTCTATAGAAGAGAGGCATGATTCCTCTCCTTTAGAGTAATGACTAACAGAGCTCCGGTGGCTACCAGTACTTCTAGGACTATTGTGCTTGATGTTCTTCACGAAGCGGATGACAGAAGAAAATACGCCTAAGTGGGCGTCTTTTTTTGAACGCTTATTCCTCAGGCTGCTCTTTCTCGTCCTTTGCGGCATGTTGTGCGCGCACGCCTCGTTGTCGGCTGTTATCCTTGGCACGCATGGAGGCACCGGCGAGATGACCCTGCTTGCGTTGTTCATTGGAGACACTTCGGCTTCCTTCTGCCCATGATGGTGTTCACATTTGTGCTTGTGCATCTCGGCGGCGGAATTATTGGGGGCCATGGGCCAAGAGCGATGATGAGGTGAAAGACAGGCGCTATGAGGCTCTCCTACCGTTTACGTCTAACTATGCGGTCCCGTAACGAAACCCTCCGTTCCTACTGCTGCTATTTGTGGTCACGGCAACCCGGAGTGCCCGTGGGCTATTCCGCAGTAGACAGGGCCAAACAAACCAGCGCGTGCTGTGTGTTGCATACATATAAAAGTAGACGACAGTACAGAACGAAAAGGAGCAACAAGTAGGAGAGCGGTTTTCTTTCTTTCATTCTTGTTTCCGCTTCAGTAAAGCAATCGTATGAAAGATCAAATACCCACGTAGCCACACACTCACACAGAAGCAGCAAAACACATGTGTTGGCAAAACACTTCACAAGATGTATGCACCGACATGCAAAGTCAACCCCCGCTGGACGGCGGTGCCAACCACCACACACCGACAAAGGCACCGCCCAAACACCACGCCCCTTCCCCATCACCACAACCAACCACACCCGCAAACACACACTCACACATACTCACAGATACAGCAAAAGACAATATATATATATATATATATATATACTCGCCCCTCGTTTAGCTACTCCATTGATGGCGGTGGCGGCGGGCGCAGCGCCTTGTCCTCCTCACGGATCTCCACTTTGTAGCCGGCCGAGCTCGTCTGTTCCTGCCAGTGGTGCCTGCCGCTCGTCGGTCCGAGTCCACGCTGCTGGTGCAGGTACTCGCGCCCCGGCTGCACGTCCTGGAAGTGCTGGAACTGCTGCCGGCTCACCTCTGGGTCGTACACCTCCTCCATGTATGTTTGCACGTCCTGCCCAGTATCCTTCGGGATGCCCATGCTGTCGTACTCGTACGTGCGCGTGCGAGTGAAGTTGTGATGCTTCTCCAGCACGTAGATGGCGCGCCGCGCCTCCTCAATGCACTCATCGATGAGCAGCTTCTCCGTTGCCTGCGCACGGCGGCGGAAGGCGAAGCGGCAGTACGCAATCATGCTCCGTCGTCGTACGCTCTTGAAGTTCATCAGGCCCTTGAGGATGTTACGATACAGCAGCAGCACGAGACTCTTGTGCTCTGGCGTCGGCGTATATTCCCACGACTCCCGCTTTCGCGCCTGCTGCTGTTGCTTCTGTTGCAGCAGAAGCGCGGCGAACGATGCACCGCCACGCGTGCCACCGCGGAACATGACACAACTCCGCTAAAGACGCTTTCTATCTTTCCTGCGTGTGCGTATGTGTG